GAAAAATCATAGCGATGCTATTTGATACTCATGCGCGTGTATCTCCTCGCAAGCCACTCAGTCTGTACGTCTTGGCGCAGCCCTCTTCGGAAAACTGTGAGCAAAGCAGTCTCGCTCCATCCGCTACCGGCTGCGATAGTACGGAACTCTAAAGCGTAGTCGGCTACTGTGCGACGGCCCTGCTGAAGTTCGCACAGTTGGTCTCCCACACTACGCCCAGATACTGGGTGGTCGAACACCTCTTGAAAGAGTCTCTTGAACTGAACTTCCGCATTCAGCTCGGGGACCTCAGCTGCCCAAAGCGCAGTAGCCCAATCCAGTGCCCTTCCCGTTAGCAGAGAAATCATGAAATCCACCCTGCTATGGTCATCGGAAAACATAGTACGATTATATGACAGATACAGGGACATCTGGAGTAGAAACCCCTGACATTTGCCAGGTTCCCCGTCGTACCTTGTAGGTAGAGAAATCGGAGGTGCATGACGAGGACTGACCGTGCTCGGTGTTGTGCCTTCAGCCGCACCAGCGTGGAGTAGCTGTAGGAGTTCATCCATCCGTTTCTCCTGTATCTCCCATCGCCTCTGTAATTCCGCTGGATCCATGGTAATGGCGAGGTATTCTGTAATGAATACTCGGACAGAGTGGGAAGATCCAATCGCAGAATAGCGATGCTTTATTAGAGTACAGACAAGGGTATAGCTTAATCGTGGTCGGGCGGGCTGTGGTCAAAACCAGGCAAGGCATAGACAGGCAGAGGTACCAAAGGAGCGGGCTTAGTCGTAGTCGAGGGCACAGGCACAGGATCAGAGCACGGTAATCACTGGGGTAGACAAGCAGAGGATTAAGCAATTCGGGGAGTCAAACAACAAGGCACAGGTCGGATACACGGGTAATCAAAACAACAAACTCTCTCTCTCTCTCTCTCTCTCTCTCTCTCTCTCTCTCTCTCTCTCTCTCTCTCTTCTCTCTCTCTCTCTCTCTCTCTCTCTCTCTCCTCTCTCTCTCTCTCTCTCTCTCTCTCTCTCTCTCTCTCTCTCTCTCTCGGAACAAAACGCTTAGCAAGTCACAAAGGAACAATACCTCGCACCGACAGAACTTCTGAGCACACCTTATATCCTACCCTAATTACGGACAGGTGTGCTCAGAACTCAGGTGAACCAGATCGAGTCTGATGACTCCCCCTCTCTGTAGATCGGGGAAGTGTCAGACTCTGTCTAGACCCAGCCAACCCCCGATCCCTTACAACAGGGCTAGGTGACCCCTGATCCACCAAGTTCCAGAGACTTACCTTTCAGTGCTTCGTTGATGTAGCCCCTTAAGTAATCTGTGCACTCTATGTCATTGATAGTGTCCCTGCTGTACTCTGTGGGCATCCCATTCCCAGTTATGTAGACGGTCACCTTGGTGACATTCAGATACTCTGCAGAGACATAGTTGAGTAGCCTACGGAGGCCCCAGGGTTCAGGGTGGATCCAGTCAGACACTGTAGAAGGCCAGGAGGGGTCCTTGAAGTCTCCCACCCCCTCTGGTCCAGGCACGCAGCCACCATCCCTGCTGTTGGCCAGACGAGAGGTGTAGTGGTTCACCATGAAATCTGCCATTCTGCAAATTTGCTTACTCTGCAGTGAAGACAGGGAGTATGGCAGGCACAGAGTGGGGACAATCCCGCCTTTTCTGCTCAATCTGAGACTTCAGCAAAACTGGATAGTCCCCATCCATGAAAATGGGATGGGCGAACCATCCCAGTATGAACAGCAGGTAGCAGTCAGCAGCCGCTACATCTTTTGGATTGGAGGAGGAGCTTGGAGGCTCAGCCTAGTTGGAGTCCATGTTGTGAGTCACCTTTTGGTGGGGGGGTGGGTGGAGACAAAGGATAAAAATCATTAACAAAATGTATTCAAATTCACAAAGTCAAGGAGTGATGCCAGTTCTTTCACCTGGTAGGAGGTAAACACATAGTCCTTTACCTCAGGGGGATGCTGACCTGTACCGTACCCAGCATGGCTAATCACCCAGGGGCTACTGAAAGTGTTCCAGGTCCTAACTATCTCCAAACCTGGAGAAGCTGAAGTCAGCATAGTCTTTAAAGGCTTCTTCAATGGAAATATTGGTCCAGCCTCCATAGTCCTGGAGTGCCTGGGGAAGATACCAGTGGTGCAGGGTCACAACAGGTTCTATGTCCGTCTCTATCAATGCGTTGATCAGGCTGTCATATTAAAGTGCTCCTTTCTCAGAGTGGCTCAACCAGTGGCTGGAGGGGAAAATGCGGGCCCAAGAGATAGAGAACTGGTAGGTTTTGACAAGTAGACCTCTTAGGAGGTAGACGACGTAGTCCACTTTGTGGTAGCTGTCACAAGCCAGGTCGGCAGTCTGATTCTCAAAGGCTTGGTGCTCATGGCAAAAGAGGTTCCAAATGGTCTCACCCTTCCCATGCTCAGACCAGCCACAATCGACTTTGAAGGACTCACTGGAAGTGGCCCACTGGAAGACATCAGGAAAAGACTCATTCAGGAAGATGTCCCGCTCGGACAGGGTCTGAGTTCCAAATTTATCCCACACACTGGTAATTTACTGAAAGTTGCATCCCCAGTGTGGTCTTAAAGACTAGGTGAGCAAGAGAGGTAAAGGGCATTATTAAATATACACATACAGAGGTATGAAAAACATACTAAATGACAAAAAAAGACAAAAGGTTAATTCAGACTATTTTTATATCTTTCATTATACTAATAATAGACTATTTAATCGATTATGACATTTCCAAATAGTTTAACCAACAAGCAATTATAATCTTAAATCATCTTGCCTATTTGGAAAGTCCAACAAATCCAGTTACCCTAACAAGTCAACCATCTCCCGAGTGGCGCAGTGGTCTAAGGCACTGCATTGCAGTGCTAGCTGTGCCACTAGAGATCCTGGTTCGAATCCAGGCTCTGTCGTAGCCGGCCGTGACCGGGAGCCCCATGGGGCGGCGCACAATTGACCCAGCATCGTCCAGGGTAGGGGAGGGAATGGCCGGCAGGGATGTAGCTCAGTTGGTAGAGCATGGCGTTTGCAACGCCAGGGTTGTGGGTTCGTTTCCCACGGGGGGACAGTATAAAAAAATTAAATAATGTATGCACTCACTAACTGTAAGTCGCTCTGGATAAGAGCGTCTGCTAAATGACTAAAATGTAATGTCACATCCAAGTATTTGCAGGTCCTCATTTCTCAGAATTGTAATGATTTCAGACCACAGACCCAGCGCCAGGATAAAGTGACTAAGGGGGCAGTTGAAATCGGCAAAGTTTTGTGGGGTTCTTGCATTGGAATTATATTGATATACCGTGCATTCGGAAAGTATTCAGACCCCTTGACTTTTTCCACATTTTGTTACGTTACAGCCTTATTCTAAAATGGATGACACACAATCTGCACACAATACCCTATAATGATAAAAAGCAAAAATAGGTTTTTAGAAATTTCTGCAAATGTTTAAAAAAGAAAAAAACTGAAATATCACATTTATGTAGGTATTCAGACCCTTTACTCAGTACTTGGTTGAAGCACCTTTGGCAGCGATTACAGCCTCACGTCTTCTTGGGTATGACGCTACATGCTTGGCACACCTGTATTTGGGAAGTTTCTCCCATTCTTCTCTGCAGATCCTCTCAAGCTCTGTCAGGTTGGATGGGGAGCATCGCTGCACAGCTATTTTCAGGTCTCTCCAGAGATGTTCGATATGGTTCAAGTCGGGGCTCTGGCTGGGCCACTCAAGGACATTCAGAGACTTGTCCCGAAGCCATTCCTGCGTTGTCTTAGATGTGTGCTTAGGGTCGTTGTCCTGTTGGAAGGTGAACCTTCGCCCCGGACTGAAGTCCTGAGTACTCTGGAGCAGGTTTTCATCAAGGATCTCTCTATACACTGCTCCGTTCATCTTTGCCTCGATCCTGACTAGTCTCCCATTCCCTGCCGCTGAAAAACATCCCCAAAGCATAAAGCTGCCACCACAATGCTTCACCATAGGGATGGTGCCAGGTTTCCTCTAGACGTGACACTTGGCATTCAGGCCAAAGAGTTCACTCTTGGTTTCATCAGACCAGAGAATCTTTTTTCTCATGGTCTGGGAGTCCTTTAGGTGCCTTTTGGCAAACGGGCTGTCAAGTGCCTTTTACTGAGGAGTGGCTTCCTTCTGGCCACTCTACCATAAAGTCCTGATTGGTGGAGTGCTGCAGAGATGGTTGTCCTTTTGAAAGGTTCTCCCATCTCCACAGAGGAACTCTGGAGCTCTGTAAGAGCGACCATTGGGTTCTTGGTCACCTCCGTGACCGAGGCCCTTCTCCCCCGATTGCTCAGTTTGGCCGGGCGGCCAGCTCTAGGAAGAGTCTTGGTGGTTCCAAACTTCTTCCATTTAAGAATGATGGAGGCCACTGTGTTCTTGGGGACCTTCAATGCTGTAGAAATGTTTTGGTACCCTTCCCCAGATCTGTGCCTCAACACAATCCTGTCTGGGAGCTCTACGTACAATTCCTTCGACCTCATGGCTTGGTTTTTACTCTGACATGCACTGTCAACCATGGGACCTTATATAGACAGGTGTGTGCATTTCCAAATCATGTCCAATCAATTGAATTTACATCTGGTGGACTCCAATCAAGTTGTAGAAACATCTGAAGTATGATCAATGGAAACAAGATGCATATGAGCCCGATTTCGAGTTTCATAGCAAAGGTCTGAATACTATGTAAATACAGTGGGGGGAAAGTATTTAGTCAGCCACCAATTGTCCATGTTCTCCCACTTAAAAAGATGAGAGAGGCCTGTAATTTTCATCATAGGTACACGTCAACTATGACAGACAAAATGAGGAAAAAAATTCCAGAAAATCACATTGTAGGATTTTTTATGAATTTATTTGCAAATTATGGTGGAAAATAAGTATTTGGTCAATAACAAAAGTTTCTCAATACTTTGTTATATACCCTTTGTTGGCAATGACACAGGTCAAATGTTTTCTGTAAGTCTTCACAAGGTTTTCACACACTGTTGCTGGTATTTTGGCCCATTCCTCCATGCAGATCTCCTCTAGAGCAGTGATGTTTTGGGGCTGTCGCTGGGCAGCACAGACTTTCAACTCCCTCCAAAAATGTTCTATGGGGTTGAGGTCTGGAGACTGGCTAGGCCACTCCAGGACCTTGAAATGCTTCTTACGAAGCCACTCCTTCGTTGCCCGGGCGGTGTGTTTGGGATCATTGTCATGCTGAAAGACCCAGCCACGTTCCATCTTCAATGCCCTTGCTGATGGAAGGAGGTTTTCATTCAAAATCTCACGATACATGGCCCCATTCATTCTTTCTTTTACACGGATCAGTCGTCCTGGTCCCTTTGCAGAAAAACAGCCCCAAAGCATGATGTTTCCACCCCCATGCTTCACAGTAGGTATGGTGTTCTTTGGATGCAACTCAGCATTCTTTGTCCTCCAAACACGACGAGTTGAGTTTTTACCAAAAAGTTATATTTTGGTTTCATCTGACCATATGACATTCTCCCAATCCTCTTCTGGATCATCCAAATGCACTCTAGCAAACTTCAGATGGGCCTGGACATGTACTGGCTTAAGCAGGGGGACACGTCTGGCACTGCAGGATTTGAGTCCCTGGCGGCGTAGTGTGTTACTGATGGTAGGCTTTGTTACTTTGGTCCCAGCTCTCTGCAGGTCATTCACTAGGTCCCCCCGTGTGGTTCTGGGATTTTTGCTCACCGTTCTTGTGATAATTTTGACCCCACGGGTGAGATCTTGCGTGGAGCCCCAGATCGAGGGAGATTATCAGTGGTCTTGTATGTCTTCCATTTCCTAATAATTGCTCCCACAGTTGATTTCTTCAAACCAAGCTGCTTACCTATTGCAGATTCAGTCTTCCCAGCCTGGTGCAGGTCTACAATTTTGTTTCTGGTGTCCTTTGACAGCTCTTTAGTCTTGGCCATAGTGGAGTTTGGAGTGTGACTGTTTGAGGTTGTGGACAGGTGTCTTTTATACTGATAACAAGTTCAAACAGGTGCCATTAATACAGGTAACGAGTGGAGGACAGAGGAGCCTCTTAAAGAAGAAGTTACAGGTCTGTGAGAGCCAGAAATCTTGCTTGTTTGTAGGTGACCAAATACTTATTTTCCACCATAATTTGCAAATAAATTCATTACAAATCCTACAATGTGATTTTCTGGATTTTCTTTTCTCAATTTGTCTGTCATAGTTGACGTGTACCTATGATGAAAATTACAGGCCTCTCTCATCTTTTTAAGTGGGAGAACTTGCACAATTGGTGGCTGACTAAATACTTTTTTCCCCCACTGTAACATGCTGAATAACAAACAGTATTTTACACTCAGTCTCTTCTCATAGCCGCAGGAAAGTATTTTGAAATATGATTTTTTTCTCACAAAATAATGCACTGGGCTTTTAATAGTCCTCTATTAGCGGACCGATATAGTTGTCTGCAGTGCCAGCGCGAGCAAAAATATTTGCTATGCGGATGACACTCAACTACTTTTCTCCTTCCCTTCTTCTGACACCCAGGTGGCGACACACATCTCTGCGTGCCTGGCAGATATCTCAGCTTGAATGTCTGCCCACCACCTCAAGCTCAACCTTGACAGGACGGAGCTGCTCTTCCTCACAGGGGAAGGCCTGCCCGCTCAAAGACCTCTCCATCACGGTTGACAACTCCACGGTGTCTCCCTCCCAACTTTGGCATGACCCTGGACAACACCCGTTGTTCTCTGCATACATCAAAGCAGTGATTTGCTCCTGCAGGTTCATGGTCTACAACATCCATAGAGTACGACCCTGCCTCGCACATGAAGAGGCGCAGTTCCTAATCCAGGCACTTGTCATCTCCTGTCTGGACTACTGCAACTCACTGTTGGCTGTGCACCCCGCTTGTGCCATCAAACACCTGCAACTTATCCAGAACGCTGCAGCCCACCTGGTGTTCAACCTTCCCAAGTTCTCCCATGTCACCCTGCTCCTCCACACACTCCACTGGCTTCCAGTCGAAGCTCGCATCCACTACAAGACCATGGTGCTTACCTACGGAACAGCAAGAGGAACCGCCACTTCCTACCTTCAGGCAATGCTCAAACCCTACACCCCAACCCGAGCACTCCGTTCTGCCACCTTTGGTCTCTTGGCCTTCCCACCCCTACGGGAGGGCAGCTCCCGCTCAGCCCAGTCCAAGCTCTTCTCTGTCCTGGCACCCCAATGGGGGATTCTCCCTGGAGCTAGAACATCAGGTTCCCTGCCCATCTTGTGAAAACATCTGAAACCCTACCTCTTCAAAGAGTATTAATCCCACAGCACCCCTCACCCTTCTTACCCCGACCAACCCTTTTGTGAACCAAAACTCGCACATTATATATTTTTTGTCTTACTAGCTCTGACTTTGCTGATACAGTGAGGGAAAAAAGTATTTGATCCCCTGCTGATTTTGTACATTTGCCCACTGACAAAGAAATTATCAGTCTATAATTTTAATGGTAGGTTTATTTGAACAGTGAGAGACAGAATAAAAACAAAAAAAACCAGAAAAACGCATGTCAAAAATGTTATAAATTGATTTGCATTTTAATGAGGGAAATAAGTATTTGACCCCCTCTCAATCAGAAAGATTTCTGGCTCCCAGGTGTCTTTTATACAGGTAACGAGCTGAGATTAGGAGCACACTCTAAAAGGGAGTGCTGCTTATCTCAGTTTGTTACCTGTATAAAAGACACCTGTCCACAGAAGCAATCAATCAATCAGATTCCAAACTCTCCACCAAGGCCAAGACCAAAGAGCTCTGCAAGGATGTCAGGGACAAGATTGTAGACCTACACAAGGCTGGAATGGGCTACAAGACCACCGCCAAGCAGCTTGGTGAGAAGGTGACAACAATTGGTGCGATTATTCGCAAATGGAAGAAACAAAAAAGATCTGTCAATCTTCCTCGGCCTGGGGCTCCATGCAAGATCTCACCTCGTGCAGTTGCAATGATCATCAGAACGGTGAGGAATCAGCCCAGAACTACATGGGAGGATCTTGTCAATGATCTCAAGGCAGCTGGGACCATAGTCACCAAGAAAACAATTGGTAACACACTACGCCGTGAAGGACTGAAACCTTGCAGCGCCCGCAAGGTCCCCCTGCTCAAGAAGGCACATATACAGGGCCGTTTGAAGTTTGCCAATGAACATCTGAATGATTCAGAGGAGAACTGGGTGAAAGGGTTGTGGTCAGATGAGACCAAAATCGAGCTCTTTGGCATCAACTCAACTCGCCGTGTTTGGAGGAGGAGGAATGCTGCCTATGACCCCAAGAACACCATCCCCACCGTCAAACATGGAGGTGGAAACATTATGCTTTGGGGGTGTTTTTCTGCTAAGGGGACAGGACAACTTCACTGCATCAAAGGGACGATGGACGGGGCCATGTACCGTCAATTCTTGGGTGAGAACCTCCTTCCCTCAGCCAGGGCATTGAAAATGGGTTGTGGATGGGTATTCCAGCATGACAATGACCCAAAACACACGGCCAAGGCAACAAAGGAGTGGCTCAAGAAGAAGCACATTAAGGTCCTGGAGTGGCCTAGCCAGTCTCCAGACCTTAATCCCATAGAAAATCTGTGGAGGGAGCTGAAGGTTCGAGTTGCCAAACGTCAGCCTCGAAACCTTAATGACTTGGAGAAGATCTGCAAAGAGGAGTGGGACAAAATCCCTCCTGAGATGTGTGCAAACCTGGTGGCCAACTACAAGAAACATCTGACCTCTGTGATTGCCAACAAGGGTTTTGCCACCAAGTACTAAGTCATGTTTTGCAGAGGGGTCAAATACTTATTTCCCTCATTAAAATGCAAATCAATTTATAACATTTTTTTACATGCGTTTTTCTGAATTTGTTTGTTGTTATTCTGTCTCTCACTTTTCAAATAAACCTACCATTAAAATGATAGACTGATCATGTCTTTGTCAGTGGGAAAATGTACAAAATCAGCAGGGGATCAAATACTTTTTTCCCTCACTGTAGCTACTTTATTGAGGAATAACATACTTTTCCATCCTCATGATGCCATCTATTTTGTGAAGTGCACCTGTCCCTCCTGCAGCAAAGCACCCCCAAAGCATGATGATGCCACCCCCGTGCTTCACAGTTGGGATGGTGTTCTTCGGCTTGCAAGCAACCCCCTGTTTTCTCCAAACATAACGATGGTCATTATGGCCGAACAGTTCTATTTTTGTTTCATCAGACCAGAGGACATTTCTCCAAAAAGTACGATCTTTGTCCCCATATGCAGTTGCAAACCGTAGTCTGGCTTTTTTATGGCGGTTTTGGAGTAGTGGCTTCTTCCTTGCTGAGCGGCCTTTCAGGTTATTTGATATAGGACTTGTTTTACTGTGGATATAGATACTTTTGTACCTGTTTCCTCCAGCATCTTCACAAGGTCCTTTGCTGTTGTTCTGGGATTGATTTGCACTTTCGCACCAATGTACATTAATCTCTAGGAGACAGAACGCGTCTCCTTCCTGAGCGGTATGACGGCTGCGTGGTCCCATGGTGTTTATACAGATGAACGTGGTACCTTCAGGCGTTTGGAAATTGCTCCTAAGGATGAACCAGACTTGTGGAGGTCTTCTCATGATGTCAAGCAAAGAGGCACTGAGTTTGAAGGTAGGCCTTGAAATACATCCACAGGTACACCTCCAATTGACTCAAATTATGTCAATTAGCCTATCAGAAGCTTCTAAAGCCATGACATGTTTAAAGGCACAGCCAACTTAGTGTATGTAAACTTTTGACCCACTGGAATTGTGGAATTGTGATACAGTGAATTATAAGTGAAATAATCTGTCTGTAAACAATTGTTGGAAAAATTACTTGTGTCATGCACAAAGTAGATGTCCTAACCGACTTGCCATAGTTTGTTAACAAGAAATTTGTGGAGTGGTTGAAAAACAAGTTTTAATGACTCCAACCTAAGTGTATGTAAACTTCCGACTTCAACTGTATATGATGGGATGTATAGACATTATGGACAGTATATTGATAGAATATGTAGTATACCTGAAAAATACGTAGGATAGAATAGTACATGTACAGCAATATTTAAATAGGATAGGCCTTGACTAGAATACTGTATATACATATGAAGTGGGTAAAACAGTATGTAAACATTATTAAAGTGACCAGTGTTCCATTATTAAAGTCACCAGTGTTCCATGTCTATGTACATAGGCAGCAGCCTCTAAGGTGCAGGGTTGAGTAACCAGGTTGTAGCCGGCTAGTGACTAAAGTTCAGGGCAAGGTACTGGGCGGAGGCCGGCTAGTGGTGACTATTCAACATTCTGATGGCCTTGAGATATTAGCTGTTTTTCAGTCACTCTGTCCCAGCTTTGATGCACCTGTACTAACCTCACCTTCTGGATGGTAGCACGGTGAACAGGCTGTGGCTCGGGTGGCTGAGGTCCTTGATGATATTTTTGGCCTTCTTGTGACACCGGGTTTTGTAGATGTACTGGAGGCAGTGTGCCCCCGGTGATGCGTTGGGCAGACCGCACCACCCTCTGATGAGCCCTGGGGTTGTGGACAGTGCAGTTGCCGTACCAGGCGGTGATACAGCCCGACAGGATGCTCTCAATGGTGCATCTGTAAAATGTTGTGAGGGGCTTAGGGGCCAAGCCAAATTTCTTCAGCCTCCTGAGGTTGAAGAGGTGCTGTTGCGCCTTCTTCACCATAGTGTCTGTGTGGGTGGACCATTTCAGATTGTCAGTGATGTGTACGTAGAGGAACTTAAAGCTTTTCACCTTCTCCCCGTTGATGTGGATGGAAGCGTGCTCCCTCTTCTGTCTCCTGAAGTCCACAGGGGCCCCTGTGTTGAGGATCAGCGTAGTGGAGGTGTTGTTGCCTACCTTCACCACCTGGGGGTGGTCCGTCAGGAAGTCCAGGACCCAGTTGCACAGGGCGGGATTCAGACTCAGTGCCCCCGAGCTTAATGACGAGCTTGGAGGGTACTATGGTGTTGAAGGCTGAGCTATAGTCTATGAACAGCATTCTTACATAGGTTTCCTCTAGTCCAGATGGGATAGGGCAGTGTGCAGTGCGATGGCTATTGTGTCATCCGTGGATCTATTGGGGCAAATTGCAGTGGGTCTAGGGTGTCGGGCAAGGTGGAGATTATATGATCCTTAACTAGCCTCTCAAAACACTTCTTGATGACAGAAGTGAGTGCTACGGGGCGATAGTTATTTAGTTCAGTTACCTTCCATTTCTTGGGTACAGGAAAAATTGTGAACATCTTGAAGCAAGTGGGGACAGCATATTAGGAGAGGAAGAGATTGAATATGTCCGTAAACACTCCAGCCAGCTGGTCTGCGCATGATCTGAGGACTCGGCTAGGGATGCCGTCTGGGCCGGCAGCCTTGTGAGGCTTAACACGCTTAAATGTCTTACGTCGGCCATGGAGAACAAGAGCTCACAGTCCTCGGAAGAGGTGGTGGCCTGCGTCGGCGGCACTGTTTTCCTCGAAGCGGGCGAAGAAGGTGTTTAGCTTGTCCGGCAGCAAGACGTCGGTGTCCGCGTCGTGGCTGGTTTTACACATCACACACCCAAGTGGGGTCTACATTCAAGCCCCACCTCAGCCAGAACTGCCAAGTAGGTCACCAAATCCACCTCAGCCTTCACTGTTTACTAGTGGGGTCCAGACCCAAGACCCATTCCAGCCTTCACAGTCTGGTGGGTTACCAACCCATTTCTGCCTTCTGGGCCACGCCCACCAGAAGAATGCCAGTCTGGCCCTGGCTCTGATTCGCCAGCACGGCCAACATGGACATCAACTCCCATGGTGGAAGAGGCAACAGAGGAGCTGAAGAAGGTAACCTACTGCCTCAATGTCACACTATATCCCAGCACTAAACTTCCTGATGCCACCCAATTCCAGACCTGGCATGACCTTCTAAAAGTCACAGAGAAAGTGGTTGAAGGGCGGCTGGCACCAAGGCTGAAACACTTCTCCCACAGCAAGTCCAGGCAGAGTGTTTACCAGAAGAGCTGAGTGCTCTCAAATCAAGAAAACCCATCTACAGTCATCTCACTCTCTCACCTGAATTCAACCTGGCTCCTAGGAAAGAGGACCCTCCAAGGCCCCTTCCTGTGGCGTGCAAGCCAACTCCACCTCATCCTCCAGGGTCAGATCCTCATAGTGTTGTTCCGATGGATGGCAAACCATACCCCCTTCATCAAATTGCCATTCAGGCATGTCACCCTACTCCAGAACTACCACACATGGTGCTCCATGGGGCGGCAGTACCACTCCCCTTCATTATCCTCCTACCTGACCCTGACCCGGACCCAGTCACTCCCAACTTGCTTCTCATGGGGCGGTGTGGCAGCTCTCTCCTCAAGTTATCTACGCTGATAGTGGTTTCGTTGGTCAACAGCTCTAACGTCATAGCCAAATCCTGGCTGACCACTTCTGGGCCAACTTCGAACTTACCTCAGACCGGAGGCCTGTCTGATTCCCTTGCCTGAGGTCAAGAATGACCCAGATTAAACCAGGCCGCTTAGGGATGGATCAACATTTACAGAATGGTTACCTAGAGGAAAATGGGGGAGGGTCATGCTTTTAGAATTTCAGTCAAGGGGAGGGTTTAGTATTTGTTAATCTAGTCCAGGGGAGGGTCATGTAATTGATGACATTTTTATATTTGTTTTAGAATTAGTTGCATATTAGGTTATACAGTGGGGGGGAAAAGTATTTAGTCAGCCACCAATTGTGCAAGTTCTCCCACTTAAAAAGATGAGAGAGGCCTGTAATTTTCATCATAGGTACACGTCAACTATGACAGACAAAATGAGAAAAAAAAATCCAGAAAATCACATTGTAGGATTTTTAATGAATTTATTTGCAAATTATGGTGGAAAATAAGTATTTGGTCAATAACAAAAGTTTCTCAATACTTTGTTATATACCCTTTGTTGGCAATGACACAGGTCAAACGTTTTCTGTAAGTCTTCACAAGGTTTTCACACACTGTTGCTGGTATTTTGGCCCATTCCTCCATGCAGATCTCCTCTAGAGCAGTGATGTTTTGGGGCTGTCGCTGGGCAACACAGACTTTCAACTCCCTCCAAAGATTTTCTATGGGGTTGAGATCTGGAGACTGGCTAGGCCACTCCAGGACCTTGAAATGCTTCTTACGAAGCCACTCCTTCGTTGCCCGGGCGGTGTGTTTGGGATCATTGTCATGCTGAAAGACCCAGCCACGTTTCATCTTCAATGCCCTTGCTGATGGAAGGAGGTTTTCACTCAAAATCTCACGATACATGGCCCCATTCATTCTTTCCTTTACACGGATCAGTTGTCCTGGTCCCTTTGCAGAAAAACAGCCCCAAAGCATGATGTTTCCACCCCCATGCTTCACAGTAGGTATGGTGTTCTTTGGATGCAACTCAGCATTCTTTGACCTCCAAACACGACGAGTTGAGTTTTTACCAAAAAGTTATATTTTGGTTTCATCTGACCATATGACATTCTCCCAATCCTCTTCTGGATCATCCAAATGCACTCTAGCAAACTTCAGACGGGCCTGGACATGTACTGGCTTAAGCAGGGGGACACGTCTGGCACTGCAGGATTTGAGTCCCTGGCGGCGTAGTGTGTTACTGATGGTAGGCTTTGTTACTTTGGTCCCAGCTCTCTGCAGGTCATTCACTAGGTCCCCCCGAGTGGTTCTGGGATTTTTGCTCACCGTTCTTGTGATCATTTTGACCCCACGGGGTGAGATCTTGCGTGGAGCCCCAGATCGAGGGAGATTATCAGTGGTCTTGTATGTCTTCCATTTCCTAATAATTGCTCCCACAGTTGATTTCTTCAAACCAAGCTGCTTACCTATTGCAGATTCAGTCTTCCCAGCCTGGTGCAGGTCTACAATTTTGTTTCTGGTGTCCTTTAACAGCTCTTTGGTCTTGGCCATAGTGGAGTTTGGAGTGTGACTGTTTGAGGTTGTGGACAGGTGTCTTTTATACTGATAACAAGTTCAAAAAGGTGCCATTAATACAGGTAACGAGTGGAGGACAGAGGAGCCTCTTAAAGAAGAAGTTACAGGTCTGTGAGAGCCAGAAATCTTGCTTGTTTGTAGGTGACCAAATACTTGTTTTCCACCATAATTTGCAAATAAATTCATAACAAATCCTACAATGTGATTTTCTGGAGAAAGAAAATCTCAATTTGTCTGTCATAGTTGACGTGTACCTATGATGAACATTACAGGCCTCTCTCATCTTTTTAAGTGGGAGAACTTGCACAATTGGTGGCTGACTAAATACTTTTTTTCCCCACTGTTTATCGATGTGTGCCTGATGCCACACCTCATCTCTGACTCTCTGCTGGACGTGCAATATCAAGTGTGCCTATAGACTATTTAGTGTGGTCTCAATCAAATGACCCATAGCCTATACGCTATGAAATGCATGCTCAGAGAAGCACAGAGCAAAGTTATATTGCTAAGATAGCTGCGGGGATGGTGTAAATAAAATTAGGCTGCATTACGAACTGCAATGGATATTCCAACCCTGAGCCCTGCTATGCTCTTGCTGATCAAAAACGTTTCTGTGTGCTGTGTAGGGCTACGGTGGCAGTTCAGGAGGAGAGTCAATGGTTTCTTCATATTATAATTTTTTTAATTAGGCCTAGTCCCAAAAAATTCACTATCTTGCGCGCGGACTAGCTTTTTAGCCTATGTTCTGTTCAGTTTGAGAAGAAGAGAGCAAAGATGAGAAGGAGGACCGGAGGTCAACTTTGATAGCCTGCTACTACTATAATTGATTTTATTAAAAACAATATGTTTCTTGCCCGTGATGTATTTATCTGAGTTATTGACCTCAGAATAAGCCAGATTCGAGTAACTTACATTGTAGTGCTGAAACTTGGAAATTCTCATAGTGCTGAAAGTAGGCAAATTCGAGTAGGCATAATTCATTTAAACCATCTTCATTTTAATTAGACTTTACTAACAACAAGAGGGCTTTTTGTTGGAGCCTATTTATTTTTATTTAAGAAATACACTGACGAAATTAGGCTATAGGCTACCATATCCATAGATTTGTTGGTAACTTCCTCCACCGACCATGCACTCTTTATATAGCCTACCTCTGTGTCAGTGAAGTGCAGTTGTGAAGTGAAGTGAAGTCAAAACCAAGACTCGAATTGAGGGGGTATGAGCATTTCTTAATTTGTAAATCGGGAGGTCCCGGAACAAAAAGTGAGCGCGAGAGGGGGGTGACCTGGGGAGCTCTGAGGTACCGGAACGCATGTGGAAAAAAATCAACATTGCATGCACATCATTGCATTTGCATTGAGGCATTACAGAAGTTACAGGCTCTGGGAAAATGTTTGCCTTTTATAAACGCATTTCATTCAATTCCATGTCCTTTTTGGCATAATATTTTTTAATGCTGCGTTCAAAACAACTGGGAACATGGAATTTGGAACTGGGAAATCTCCTACTTCTGACTTCAGTGCATTCAAGACAACTGGGAACTCAAAACAAACTAGCAGCAACTGGGCAAATTAATTTTGAACAGTCATCCAACTCGTAATTCCAAGACCGGAACTCTTTCTAGAGCTCCGACTTTCCAACCTGAAGATCACTGATGTAGGCTAATGATTTGACCTCGTTTTTGTTCAGAGTTCCCAGTTGTCTTGAAACACGGGAGGCTCCTGAAGGGAGGACGGCTCATAACAATGGCCAGAACGGAGCCAATGGAATGGCATCAACCACATGGAAACCATGTGTTTGATACCATTCCACCTATTCCGCTCCAGACTTTACCATGAGCCGGTCCTCCCCAATTAAAGTGCCACCAACCTCCTGTGTCTTGAAAGCATCAGAATACTGCACAAATGATCGAAATGACCAGCTACTTTGACACTGACAAACTGAGAATCTGAGATAAATAAAAACGACCTTGTCTTGAATCCATCAATAGCCTAGGCCTAGGTGTGTGAAGACACATATTGTTGACTACAATATGAGGAGTAAATTATAGTCCTTAAAATTATATCCAGTTTCACTAACTCACCAAAGATGTGCAGCTCACTAGCCGATGACGGCCGATGCGCTCATGCCAAAAAACTATTTATTTCTCTTGTTTTACTTTGAAAAAGTATTTGGTAGCCTACAGCAGACAGATTAGAGTTTTCTCTTTTTTCGCCATTTGCTTTCCAACCTGTTTTTCCCGCGATTGTATTTTAAATATTGCGAAAGGCCTGTTTTGTCTGCATGCTGTTACTTCATTGACAGATTTGCCGCGCATTCCCTACGTAGTCTATGCCATGTTTTTGGGCTACACTCCACAGTTAGACTACTTTTTTAAAGAAGCTATTGATCCTATGGGGCAAAATAAAGGCTATCTCATTGTGTAGTAGGGCCCTACCTTTTATTAAAGAAAATGGCAAAAAGCACAGGCCTACCCCTTGTTAGCTTAAGATTTAAGAAAATAAAACGGATCCGATTATCTAAAGTGATCTATAACAGAGCTTTGGTCCGCATGCTTTATGCTAGAAGCGAGTTGTAAAATACCCGGGAAAGAAGTGACTCTGATGCATATGGGGATACATTGTTTCGTTTATTTGACATTCAAAGGCAGACTTTGCTTGGGAAGTAAACTAATTCTATCACTATCAATTTATTAAGCTATTCACTTACTGTACAATAGAAGATGTTGAAACCGAGAGGGCTTTTAGGGAAAATTATGTAGAATTGCAAGACATTTTTATAAAAGGCAATTCTTTCTCTGACCTGAAAATACGATGATAGATTCATGCAATGCTTTTAATATAAATGAGATCTTTCTACGTCTACTATTGTCCACGGTGGTCTGCGAACCCACAACCTTCTGGCCCACAGCCTTGTGCGCGATTAAAATTCCTGCGTTGCCATGTAATGCTTACAGGATAAAGAACAGTTTCTAAAACTGCATATCAAAGGCTCTGGTCTGTCCAAGAAGTGAGAGTAAACGGTAGACATGTTCTCTGCTATCCACTTTGTTTTAATTATTATTTTGTGTATAGGGGAGGGTGAATACTCTTTTTTCAAGCGCTACGAGACGGCCATCCATTTTCATTTCAGAAACCCCTATTATAAATAACGTTCACCAGCAGAGAAAAACCTGCAGAAAACGCTTTTGAAGGTGGCTGACGAAAAGGCTCTCATCTTTCATTATTACTTTTTAGTTAACTGTCCTTTTAACTGCAGGCACCTTGGAGCCATAGAGATGTACAGGCTTTTGGGCACTAGAGACCTCTATACATCTCTATGCTCTGAGCGCACCTGCAACTAATTCCCCTATTAAATACCTGAGTTCCCTTTGTCTTTTAGTTCAGCCTTGCTGAGCTCTAAAATGTGTAAGTCGCTCTGGATAAGAGCGTCTGCTAAATGATGTAAATGTAATGTAAATGTAAAAGATGGTTGAAGCTGACGCTGATGTGGAGCGTGAATATAATGGCGGGGTAATCAAGGAGAATTTGAATGTTTTCCAAAAGAATAGAAAACGGAGCAAAGTAGCATACAGTAATGAGAATGTCCCTTATCTTGTAGGAGTACAGTTTGTTAATGAGGAGCAGCTGATTGGATTACCAATTTTGAAGAATCCATTTGATATATCCAAACTGGTGGAGAGAGTGCTTGGTAAAGTGAAGGCTGTGAGGATCACGAGAGGCAGGCTTGTTTAGATGTTTTATTCTTCGGAGGATCAGAAGTAGCGTGTGGTAATGTCTGGCGTTTTCTGGGAAGTCGATGTTGCAGAGTTTTAAAATATTCCTGGAGTGATTGATGCTCGTCGGATGAATCGTGGTGAATGAAGAAAAAGTGAAGACTATCTGTTATTTTGTTTTTTAATATGGAGTCTCTCCCTGCTCAAGTGCAGTTGGGATATATAAACTACAGAGTCAGATAATTTGTTCCAAGACCAATGCAGTGTGATCATTGTAAAGCTTTTGGACATGTTTCAAGTGTTTGCAGAAGCAAGAAGCCAAGATGTTCAAATTGTGGAAAATATCATATCATGTGTTTTTAAAAGTGATGAAAATGTGACATGTTGCAATCGTGCTGGGAACCATGAAGCCACATCTTTGGAATGCCCAACAAGAGTGAAAGAGAATGAGGTGGCCAAAGTCAGGGCTATCCAGAGTATTTCATATGCAGCGGCTGTTAAAAGGGTTGAGGGTTCAAATGGTGTTCCTGATGAGTCCATGGTGGTGGATAGGCCTTCAATGAAGGTTGCAGGGGGTGCCGTTAAACAGCAGGACCCAGATACACTACCGTTCAAAAGTTTGGGGTCACTTAGAAATTCCCTTGTTTTCTAAAGAAAAGCAATTTCTTTGTCCATCAAAATAACATCAAATTGATCAGAAATACAGTGTAGACATTATTAATGTTGTAAATGGCTATTGTAGTTGGAAACGGCAGATTTTTTTAAATGGAATATCTACATAGGTGTACAGAGGCCCATTATCAGCAACCATCAGTCCTGTGTTCCAATGCCATGTTGTGTTTGCTAATAATTTAAAAAGGCTAATTGATCATTAGAAACCCCTTTTGCAATTATGTTAGCACAGCTGAAAACTGTTGTGCTGATTTAAAGAAGCAATAAAACTGGCCTTCTTGAGACTAGTTGAGTATCTAGAGCATCAGGAATTGTGGGTTCGATTACAGAATCAAAATGGCCAGAAACAAATAACTTTCTTCTGAAACTTGTCAGTCTATTCTTGTTCTGAGAAATGAAGGCTATTCCATGCGAGAAATTGCCAAGAAACTGAAGATCTCGTACAACGCTGTGTACTACTCCTTTCACAGAACAGCGCAAACTGGCTCTAACCAGAATAGAAAGAGGAGTGGGAGGCCCCGGTACACAACTGAGCAAGAGGACAAATACATTAGTGTCTAGTTTGGGAAACAGATGCCTCACAGGTCCTCAACTGGCAGCTTCATTAAATAGTACCCACAAAACACCAGTCTCAACGTCAACAGTGAAGAGGCGACTCCGGAATGCTGACCTTCTAGGCAGAGTTGCAAAGAAAAAGCCATATCTCAGACTGGCCAATAAAAAGGAAATATTAAGATGGGCAAAAGAACAGAGACACTGGACAGAGGAAGATTGGAAAAAAGTGTTATGGACAGACAAATCGAAGTTTGAGGTGTTCGGATCACAAAGAAGAACATTTGTGAGACGCAGACCAAATGAAAAGATGCTGGAGGAGTGCTTGATGCCATCTGTCAAGCATGGTGGAGGCAATGTGATGGTCTGGGGGTGCTTTGGTGGTGGGAAAGTGGGAGATTTGTACAGGGTAAAAGGCACCTTGAAGAAGGAAGGCTATCACTCCATTTTGCAACGCCATGCCACACCCTGTGGACGGCGCTTGATTGGAACCAATTTCCTCCTACAACAGGACAATGACCCAAAGCGCAGCTCAAAACTATGCAATAACTATTTAGGGAAGAAGCAGTCAGCTGGTATTCTGTCTATAATGGAGTGGCCAGCACAGTCACTGGATCTCAACCCTTTTGAGCTGTTGTGGGAGCAGCTTGACCGTATGGTACGTAAGAAGTGCCCATCAAGCCAATCCAACTTGTGGGAGATGCTTCAGGAAGCATGGGGTGAAATCTCTTCAGATTACCTCAACAAATTGACAACTAGAATGCCAAAGGTCTGCAAGGCTGTAATTGCTGCAAATGGAGGATTCTTTGATGAAAGCAAAGTTTGAAGGACACAATTATTATTTATATTAAAAATCATTATTTCTAACCTTGTCAATGACTACATTTCCTATGCATTTTGCTATATTTCCTATTCAAACTCATTTCATGTATGTTTTCATGGAAAACAAGGACATTTCTAAGTGACCCCAAACTTTTGAACGGTAGTGTACGTTAAAAATTAAGAAGGTGGACTTTGTGGCTTTTACAGCTAGGTTGATTAATGGTACTGCCAAGGTGGAGAGGAAGTCCAGGAAAATAGCTATCATTGTGGATGCGGCGGAACGGTTCCTGGGACTGAAAGACTTCTCGGCGGAGGAGTTACATGGAGTATTGTCACAAGCCGTACCACCCTCTCAGGTCATAGAGCCTAAGAAAGGAGATATGGAGATTTGAAGGAAGAAATAAGTTTTGGTTTTGTCCAATGTGTATTTTATATTGTTTTATTTTGGGTGGATTAAGTTAGTTTTCCCTATCACGTATGGGTTTTATTTTTACCTTGGTTTTTTCAACACCGTCCAGTTGGTGGTGGTAATACACCTTGTTGGGTTGTAGTCTGCCATAAAACCCACAGAAGAAGACTAATAATAATAATAAGTATTTTAGTGAGCCAGACGCCAGTTCGAGTTCTGGAGGTGAAATGGAAGGGGTAGAAGGTGTTGTGAGGAGCTCAGAGCCTGAGCCTTGCATTGATGGACATGGTTATGATAAAGATAAGTTTGGTCCAGTGGAAGTGAGATTTTTGAAGAGTTTGGAACCAGGCCTTTTGGCTGATCCATGGGTGGTTTCAGTTTGGGAGGAAAATATGGTGGGTGCTGTTGAGTCGGTGTAGGTAATCCAAAGTGGACTTGTGATGTTTGTGTTTCCTCAGATCAGAGGGAGCAGGTGCTCTGTGCGATGCAACTTGGATCAAGATCTGTTTCTTGCTTTGTTCTTAGGAACAGGGCACCATTGAAAGGAGTGATTTCTGGGGTAGCATTAAGTGTGGAGGTGGAGCAATTGAAGTTGAAGATTCCCGGTGTTTGTGACGCCCGCCGTTTGGTGCGAAGCAGACCCGGTGGTGAAACAGAGGAGTCACTGTCAGTCCTTTTGAGTCCTTTACCCAACAAGGTCATGTTAGGATATATCAGTTATATCCTAGTGGATTCGCCAAAAACGCTCTGTTTCAGGTGCAACGTTTATGGTCATGTCGCAGCAGTGTGTAGGAGGGAGATTCCAATATGTGGGAAGTGTGCAGGAGGGCATGGGATAGAGGATTGTGTAGTTTCAGTGGATAAAGTTGTATGCGTCAACTGTAGATGTGCACATGTTGCTGGGGATCAGAAGTGTCTGGTGTGAGAGAGGCAGGTTGAGGTGACTAGAGTCAGAGTAGTGCAGAAAGTGTCGTATGCTGAGGCAGGGAAGACTGTAGAAGAGGATGGGTCAAGGGTGAGGGGTTCTAAGAGGATCCCTGTGAATAGTAGATCTGTGTCAGCACAGAGGGACAGGCCAATGAGTGATATATGCTTCAGTAAGGTTGGCTTCTTAGCGTTCATAGCAATGGTTATCAACTGTACTGCAGAAATGGAACGTAAGTCACAGAAAATAGATGTGGTGGCAGCTGCAGAGAAGTACTTGGAGGTACGAGATTTGACTTCAGAAGAGTTACAGGGTGTGTTGAGTGGTAGTGTCCCATCCTCTCAGGTCGTTGGCCTGGGAAAGGATCAGATAGGGTTAAAATAGTGGAATAAGGTGATGGGTTTTAATGAGTGTAGGGTTAGTTGGTAGGGTAATAAAAAATATTTGGATTTTATTTTTCCCGTTTCCTATTTTGTATCACGAAGTGTAATGGATTTATAGTACAGTTCAGTTGGGGGCGGTAATGCAACATATTGGATGCCAACCACCGTTAAACCTCACCGAAAAAGAACAATCCATGCCTTGGAAGAACTCTCTAGCATTTATCCCTTGTATTTCCTCTATGTACATGTGTCCAATCTCCAACTTGAGTAGCCCACCATATGTTTACATTCTCCTTTCTGGTTTGTGTCAATCAATGTGCATCTGAAGATGCACTGTTGTGAATAGTCATAGAATGGTTTGATGGTAATGTTGGATATTCCTGGAAATGAATCTATTTTGTAAATGCTTTAGAGGGAATTATAGTTTATGAAGAGAATTATGACATGGAAATAATCAGTTTGATATAATTATGGTTTGGCTACTGGCTCTGAGATTGTTATGTGTATGACAAGTAATATTTATGATATACGATATGATCACGTGAATTCTTTATATGAAATATGCTAATAAATATTTTTCTGTTTTTCTTAGCACATACAAATCAATGCTGGAAATTAAATGGATGATTTGAAAGGAGAGCATAAATGGAGGCTCAAACTCGCTAAACATTAACCTCAAGTCGCTCTGCTCTATCCTTGTCCTCTAACTGGGACACCTGCACCCTGTTTTAGCTCTTATCTCTCCCAGTGCATTCTTAAATAGGAAACCTCCCTTAACAGGTAGATATGTAGGCCTACATATAGGTAGGGGTAAAGTGACTAAGCAACAGGATAAATAAACAGTAGCAGCAGCATACAGTTGAAGTCGGAAGTTTACATACACTTAGGTTGGAGTCATTAAAACTCGTTTTTCAACCACTCCACAAATTTCTGGTTAACAAACTATAGTTTTGGCAAGTCGGTTAGGACATCTACTTTGTGCATGACACAAGTAATTTTTCCAACAATTGTTTACAGACAGATTATTTTACTTATATCACAATTTCACTGTATCACAATTCCAGTGGGTCAGAAGTTTACATACACTAAGTTGACTGTGCCTTTAAACAGCTTGGAAAATTCCAGAAAATGATGTCATGGCTTTAGAAGCTTCTGATAGGCTAATTGACATCATTTGATTCAATTGGAGGTGTACCTGTGGATGTATTTCAAGGCCTACCTTCAAACTCAGTGCCTCTTTGCTTGACATCATGGGAAAATCAAAAGAAATCAGCCAAGACCTCAGAAAATAAATGGTAGACCTCGACAAGTCTGGTTCATCCTTGGGAGCAATTTCCAAACGCCTGAAGGTACCACGTTCATCTGTACAAACAATAGTACGCAAGTATAAACACCATGGGACCACACAGCCGTCATACCGCTCAGGAAGGAGACGAGTTCTGTCTCCTAGAGATGAACGTACTTTGGTGCGAAAAGTGCAAATCAATCCCACAACAACAGCAAAGGACCTTGTGAAGATGCTGTAGGAAACAGGTACAAAAGTATCTATATCCACAGTAAAACGAGTCCTATATCGACATAACCTGAAAGGCCGCTCAGCAAGGAAGAAGCCACTGCTCCAAAACCGCCATAAAAAAGCCAGACTACGGTTTGCAACTGCACATGGGGACAAAGATCTTACTTTTTGGAGAAATGTCCTCTTGTCTGATGAAAGAAAAATAGAACTGTTTGGCCATAATGACGATCGTTATGTTTGGAGGAAAAAGGGGGTTCCTTGCAAGCCGAAGAACACCATCCCAACCGTGAAGCACGGGGGTGGCAGCATCATGCTGTGGGGGTGCTTTGCTGCAGGAGGGACTGGTGCACTTCACAAAATAGATGGCATCATAAGGAATGAAAATTAAGTGGATATATTGAAGCAACATCTCAAGACATCAGTCAGGAAGTTAAAGCTTGGTCGCAAATGCGTCTTCCAAATGGACAATGACCCCAAGCATACTTCCAAAGTTGTGGCAAAATGGCTTAAGGAGAACAAAGTCAAGGAATTGGAGTGGCCATCACAAAGCCCTGACCTCAATGCTATAGAACATTTGTGGGCAGAACTGAAAAAGTGTGTGTGAGCAAAGAGGCCTACAAACCTGACTACACCAGCTCTGTCAGGAGAAATGGGCCAAAATTCACCCAACTTATTGTGGGAAGCTTGGGGAAGGCTACCCAAAACATTTGACCCAAGTTAAACAATTTAAAGGCAATGCTACCAAATACTAATTGAGTGTATGTAAACTTCTGACCCACTGGGAATGTGATGAAAGAAATAGAAGCTGAAATAAACAATTCTCTCTACTATTATTCTGACATTTCACATTCTTAAAATAAAGTGGTGATCCTAACTGACCTAAGACAGGGAATTTTTTACTAGGATTAAATGTCAGGAATTGTGAAAAACTGAGTTTAAATGTATTTCGCTAAGGTGTATGTAAACTTCCGACTTCAACTGTATGTGATGTGTCAAGAGTTGGTGCAAAAAGGGTCAATGCAGATGGTCTGGGTAGGTATATGGTTAACTATTTAGTCTTATGGCTTGGGGGTAGAAGCTGTTCAGGGCCCTGTTGGTTCCAGACTTGATGCATCGGTACCGCTTGCCGTGTGGTAGCAGAGAGACGGCCTGGTATAGAGGTCCTGAATGGCAGGGAGCTCGGCCTCAGTGGTGTACTCTGTAGCAGCTTGCGGTCAGACGCCAAGCAGTTGCCATACTAAGCGGTGATGCAGCTATTCAAGATGCTTTCAATGGCGCAGCTGTATAACCTTTTGAGGCTCTGAGGGCTCACGCCAAATCTTTTCAGCCTCCTGAGGGGGAAGAGGCATTATTGTGCCTTCTTCACAACAGTGTTGGTGTGTGGACCATGTTAATTCCTTAATGATGTGGACACTGAGGAACTAGAAGCTCTCGACCCACTCCACCACAACCCCATTGAGCCCCATCCTGAATGGGAAATACATTATCACTATCACAGCAATACAGTGCCTTGAAAAAGTATCCCCTGTGCTGGGTCTAATTTTGTTGGAGGTTTCACATTTTGTTACCTGACATTTGGGCACATTCAATTGTCCAAATGTCAAAGGTACTGTACCCATACCTTAATGGTAGCCTCACTTTGGTAAAGGATGGGAACATCACTGGCCCTTACTCCAATCGACACATGCCACCCTGAGAGGAGAGCATAGAAAAGTGACCTTGTGGACTATAGAGCATAAGGGCCACATTTTAAAAGTTTTCCAAAATAGTAGAGTACAGAAATCTGTACATCTTAAAGAAGAAATGCAGAGCGACGAAAGACCACAAGGGGTTTGAGGCCTACTTCCACTAGCTGCTCCAGGAGGGTCTGATAGCAGAACAATGTAGGCTGATTGGACTGGCTGGGTTCACCTGTGAGTTACTCCCCGGACGACTGCAGTCAAAGGCATCAATGGGTTTGGTGGTCAAGTCCATGCTTAAGTAGTTGGTCAGAGGGCCTGCAAGTAGCTTAAAGTCCTCTGGTTGATCCTCCTGACCCAAGCATTCATAGAGGCACATCAAGTACAGACGTGCATCGGGTTCTTGATCTTGGAAGTGGAACTGCACAGTCCAGACAGTAAGCCTTTCATAGCAATGCTGTTTACCTGCTTGAACTCTTGCATTATTTATGTAATCGTGCCAGATAACACACTTCAACTCTTCAAAGTTACCATTGATAATGGTCTATAACTGGTATACCTTGGACTTGCTGAAACAGTCTGATTTATTGCTGGGGTTTTGGCTCAATTGCTAAATCTGTAATTGTTTCCTCCCCTCCATTTGCACTGTTAGGACAGTACTTGACAGGTGAATACAATATGGTGGAAGCTCAGACACTGGGAGGGATCATTGGTAAATGTAATTAAATGACATTTTACTTTGCTATGGCATTTCATTCAAACCAAGCAGCAACAAACCCTCATAGGGCAACATTTGCCAACATCCCCAAATTGTGAAGGCGCAAAACATGTTTGCAACACTGCAGCAAGGAATTGCCTTGATGTGATCAAATAATTACAGCCCTCAGACACTAATTACAAAATCAATCCAGCTGCAAATCCTGTGAGTGCCAAGGTATTTTGCTTGCAGAATTCAGTGTTATTTTGCAGACTGAAAATGTACATACCTAATATACACCAGCCTACACATTGCATTACATACAATTTGCAGACACCCAAGGGAGGCATGAATTTATTAGAAAAAGTTTAAATAAAAAAAGTACTAAAGCAAGTATAAAAAAATTGTTTGAGATGAGTTTACACTTAATGGCACTGCTGTTATAGAGTGCACTGACAGCATCAGATCACATTCAAGGCATTTGGTCATTTTAACTGTAAAAAGATAACACAATGACAACATTTACAACTGTCACTGAGACTGGAGCATGGGGGTCATTCTTAACAGTTTAAGGCTTTTGAATTTGATTTGCATCAGAGTACAGTTACATGCACACAATACGATTTGTGGATAGTCAGATTAATCATTTGTTTAAAAGCTTTGCAAGAAGAACAATTTCCCTAACAATCCCTTTTTACATCTGAAATCAGGCTACCTGATGGGACTTAAATAAATGCAGAAAATCGCCAATCAAAATAAACATTCAACCAAGTTCGGACATATAAAGTTTGATTGTGAACCATTTCTAAGATGCATACTTTCAGTTTTTACGAACTCACTTCACTTGCGCATAAGAGGGAGGCTTGAACACCTGGTGCTGGCGCATGCGCAGTTCAAATACACAGCTGGAATGCCAAATCAGCTGTTTACATGTCGTAATAATTCGAAAGATTGCTCAGAAAACCAGGTGTTTTAATCAGCGTATGCTTACTTCGATTTTGACATTACGCCGATTTAAGATAAGCAGAGTAAAGTGTTTACATGACTATTGCATAATCTGCCATAATCAGTTTAATATTGAATTATTAGTGTGCATGTAAACGTACTCATTGCCTCAATAATGAACACTGAACCGAGCATAGATTTTGAAATGTGTAGAGTAACAAAGCCACAAATCTACAGGTCCAAATTTCAGGGGGAAACACAACGATGTATAAAAATAACCCTGAGTTGGGCGGAAATTGACTTACTTTCAGAAAATGCTATTCGACAGATTAAATGCTTTGGTTAACCGCACCCCCCCGCAGGGAACTTCATACTTGGCCACAGTGGTATTCAAACATTTTCAGCAGGGACCACCCCCCCCCCTTGCAAGAATTTCTAGCGACCCCACCCCAAATCTAATGACAATCTTAAAGAAAAATCAGTACATTTCTATCTTTACATCAACAAATAACCTTCAATTCATTACGCTTTCATCTCTTATCAAAATGAAGAAACCAATATACATTTACTGAATACAATTATTTTTTTCTAATTATCTTCCTCAAAAATGTTTATATTGTCCAATACAAAAATGTGTCCAAAATGATTTGGGCATGCCCACAACCTTGAATACCACTGCCTTAAAGGCTTAATTTTACACTGTCAAGTGTCAATGTAGTCCAAACATTTACCATATAAAGCTAACAAACAAAATGAAAGAAAACAGTATCAAAAGCATGTTTTACATAACCAGACAAGATAATGTACATGAATTCAAGCATTATCCAGGTTTTTGATCCTTTGGACAAAGGGGCCGAGAAGGCTTCCAGTTCCCAGATTTGGCATCAGATTTGGGGGGGGGGTTTCATGATCAAAGTAAATTATTTTTGCTAACTACGTACTGCTGTTGGCGTGATACAACTCCAATATAACCGTTGTTACTGGTGGTTGACCAAAATAGTTACCCATTTTCAAACTGTAAGCTGTTGCACATGGAAGACAGTTATTCACTCCATAATATCATCAACACCCCCAACTCTGAATTGGCCACTTAGTACCTTTTCTTACGCTCAACAGCAGAGCGGCCTTTGTCTATTACCACACCAGTTCACAGTTCCAAACACTGACTCACTGTGTTTCCCTATTCCTCACAAAATACACACAAAAAAACAACTTTGACATGGTTTTGTGACACACTTTGTAAACTCCCGTTTTAGGTTCAAGGCCAACTTGAGATGGACCCCTCTAAACTCCAGCAAAGAGGAATAACTACAAACTAGAGGAAACACTAGTATTCCCCAAAAGAAAATAAGGGGTAAATGGCCAACAAAACAGCACAGCTGCCCTGAGAGACTGATAGGCATGTTCTGAAAACAGTTTGGACACTTTGGATCTTCAGACGTCGTCAAGTGTAGCTGGGTAGGAAGACCCTGCTCGTTGAGTTTGGCATGTTTTCGTTGAGCGTTCAATGGTCTCCAATACTGAAAGGCAGACCAATTCATCCTCCTCGAGTCACATACACACAACACCTGTCCCCACACAATGCTCCCTCATACCCCCACTGTCCCAGATGCAATAATATATCCTTAGAGGGCCAGGTGGGCTAATGAGGAAGTTAGGCTCGCAAACCTGAAGGCAAAAGGAGAAAAAAACGTAATATCAGTTTCAAGTAGACAATAATTGTACCCCATCCACAACATCCATTAATTGATTCGAACCACTATAAAATGATAATTACATGCAAATTACTACAGAAGTATTAGCTTAAATCTAGATTTGTCAAAAAATGATAAGACCGACATGTAATACTTTTTGTGACACATGGCAGAGCCCAGATAAACACACCTTTCTCGCAGGTGCTGCTCTGCTTCTCCTGGGCAAAGTTGAGGCGGTTCTGCTCCACGGCCGTCCCGTTGGACTCGGGGCTGCTGCTCCGCGACGGACTACTGTTGTCCTCGTTCAGGTGGGCCAGGTCCAGGTGCTGCTGGGCCAGCTTCAGGTGCCTCCTCAACCTCTCCAGCTCCCGCTGCGACGTCTCGTCCCCAAACGACTCACGGCCCGAATCGCCCAGGTTGTAGTCCAACCGCACGCCCTTGGGGTCCTTCTTCAGCGCTGTGTTGTAGCCCGGAGGAGCTGTGGGCACCCGGCGGCCACATAGTGAGGGATGCTGGCTAGCCAGTTGATGGGGGGTTGGGGGGCGAGGATGACAGAGACAGTCCCGGATGCCGCTATAGCCCAGGTGGAGGATCTCCAGCAAGGTGAAGAGCAGACAGAGGGCACTCACTCCGTACATGATGAGCAAGAAGATGGTCTTCTCTGTGGGGCGCGACACAAAGCAGTCCACCGTGTGCGGGCAGGGGGAGCGTGTGCACACGTACGAGGGAGACACCTCCAGGCCGTAAAGGATATACTGGCCGAACAGGAAGGAGATCTCGAAAGCAGCACGCGACAACAGCTGGAAGATGTACACCTTCATGAGGCCATTGCGCTTGATGCGCCGGCGCCCGTCATGCTTCTTGCTGGGCTTCTCCTCTTTCTTCTTCTCCTTCTCCACCTCAATCTCCTCCGAGATCATGGGATCCTCCTCACCATTATCCTCCGCCTCCTCGTAGTTCCTGTTGGTCCCTAGGCTCACCATGGGCATTCTCTTGCCGCTGGGCCTGTATTCATCATCGTCCATGCGGGCGATCTTGTGCATGGCGAAGCCCAGGTACATGATGGTGGGGGTGGTGATCATGATCACCTGGAAGACCCAGAAACGGATGTGCGAGAGCGGCGCAAAGGCGTCGTAGCACACATTTTCGCAACCGGGCTGGTGCGTATTGCACACAAACTTGCTCTGTTCATCGTAGTAGATGGATTCGCCTCCAACAGCCGTCAACACAATGCGGAAGACGATGAGCAGCGTGAGCCAGATCTTGCCCACAAAGGTGGAATGGTTGGAGATCTCATCCAGGAGACGCGTCAGGAAACTCCAGCTCATGGTGACTCCGGAGTGGGGGGAGAGGGACACTCAAATCTATATAGGGGGGCGGGGGGGGAGCAGAGAAAAAAGTTAGCAAAACAGACTACATAAGCCTACACCATTTTGTATAGCTCATGAGAGTGAGGCAGTACCTAGAATAAATGATGCAATATTCAACGTTATTTAATCATATTTTACCATTTGGTTTTCAAGAATGTGTCTAACCCGCCTCTATAACGACAGCCTCTCAACTGCCAGAAGAAAGGAGCTCTTTGCTGAAAAATGACGAGAAGGATTCCTCCTCAGTATGAGAGTTTGCAACATGTGTGAGTACCAATGACACACACCCCTAAACGATTCCTACGGAAACATCAACTTCATTGCCAATTATTCATTTTCTGGGAAATTCAGACCAGCTATTGGGTGAGAATAGTTATGAACAAAGAGTAGACTGTTTGACAAATTTCCCTCATGGACTATTCTAGTGGATATATGAGGCTTGTCAAATATCTCTTTAGACAAATAATATAGCCTATAAGTTTGCATAAATCAGTTTCAGTCCCCACAAATACTACAATATTGAAACTGCCCAAATAATATGAAGATAAGACCTCGATTGCCTGCAGAGGAGCAGTACATTTACTACAAC